TGTCCAGGCAGGGTTCGGGGTCCAGGGCCCTAAAAAGAAGGAAAATGTCGAAGGCTCGAGCTTGGACCAGGGCTTAGGGCGTGCTCCCCCCATCTCGAACGTAGTGAGAGATAAGTTTATAATGAAGTTCTACTTTAACTTAGAATTGACTAGGGCGCCACTTCGTGTCGGACCCTAAACCCTAAACCCTAAACCCTAAAACCCTAAACCCTAAACCCTCAAGGCGCCTGATAAATAGCAATTATAGCACTGGTTGAAAAAGTTTCTTGGCGCGCGTGGTTTCCATTGGAAAAGTTTCTTGGCGCGTGCTTGTCTTGCTAAAAAATCGCAAAGAGATTATTAATTTGTTAATTCAGATGTATTCACATGTTTATATATGGAAAGATATTGCCTTGCGCAAACAAGGTTTTGGCCTTTCCTTGGCCTTTGGAAGCTCAAGGTTTCAAGGCTCCTGGCCTTTTTCTTGGCCTTTGCAAGCTCAAGTTTTTAGCCTTTTCTTGGCCTTTTCAAGCTCAAGGTTTCAAGGTTTCTGGCCTTTTCTTAGCTCTTGCAGGCTCAAGGCTTCAAGGTTTCTGGCCTCTCTAGTGGCTTTTGCAAGCTCAAGGTTTCAAGGTTTCTGGCCTTCTCTTGGCCTTTGGAAGCCCAAGGTTTCAAGATTTGTGACCTTTTCTTGGCCTTGCAAGCTCAAGGTTCCAGGGTCCAAGCCCCCAATTCCGGGGTCCAAGCCCCCAAACTCCAAGCAAGGTTCCAGGGTTCCCGGGTCCAAACCCCTAAGCTCCAAGGTTCCAGGGTGCAAGCGCCCAAGCTCCAAGGTTCCCAGGTCCAAGCCTCCAAGCCTTCTGGTCCTTTGCTAGTTCAAGCCTTCAAGGTCAAAAGTTAAAAAACCAAAACCCCCCCAAAACTTATTTTGCACCTGAACCCTATATAATTGCTATAAACCCTAAACCCTAAGCATGCACAATCAAAGACCCTAACCAAAAGTATGCGCAATCAAAAACCCTAACCAAAAGCATACGCAATCAAAAACCCTAACCAAAAGCATATCAATAAAAAATCCTAAGCAAAAATATGCACAATCATAAATCCTAAGCAAAAATATGCATAATCAAAGCCATCAAAAACATGCGCAATCAAAAACCCAATCCAAAAATATATATCATCAAAAATCCTAAGCAAAAATATGCACAATAAAAAACCCTAATTATATCATCAAAAATCCTAATCAACAATATGCATAATCAACATCAAAAATCAAATACAATCAAAAATCCTATCAAAATTCATGCACAATCAAAAAAAAATATATATAAACCCTAAATCATATTCAAACAAAAATGCAAAACAAAATCATACACAATCAAAAATCCTAATCAAGAATATATACGATCAAAAATCCTAATTAAATATATCTCCTTTCCGAAACATAAAAAATATATTCATACCACCAACCCAAAAATATACATATCGAGATATATATATATATAATAGAAATTATATAAAAATTATATATCTCAAAAAAATTTACCAACATATTTTCAAACCAATCAATCCACCCAAACCAACCCAAACCCACCCAAACCAACCACCCCAAACCAACCCAAACCAACCACCCCAAATCAACCCAAACCAACCAACCAACCCAACCAACCCAACCAACCCAACCAACCCAACCTAACCAACCCAACCAACCCCACCAACCCAACCAACCCACCCACCCCACCCACCAACCCAACCAACCCACCAACCCAACCAACCCGACCGACCAACCCACCCAACCACCCAGCCAAACCAACCAACGAACCCCAACCAACCAACCCCAACCAACCAACACCAACCAACCAACACCAACCAACACCGACCAACCAACCCCAACCAACAAACAAGAACCAACCAGCCCCAACCAACACCAACCAACCCCAACCAACCCCAACCAGCCCCAACCAACCAACCACAAGGGACGGACGCACGGACGGACGAACCAGCCAACCAACAACACAAGACAAAAAAGAACGCAGCACCAAGCAGCTATGGATGAGAATATACGCCTGGCTACAGAGAGTGGTGGAAAGGCTACCCCGAAAAGAAAGAACAAGCCCACTCGACCTGGGACTTATACACCTTCACCGCTTTGACGAATACGGACGGCCATGGTGGGCACTCTCGATCCTGGGCGTGGCTTGCAACACTTTCAACGAGGGCGCTCAGGCCATCAAAGTGCATCGACAAAGGCGCTGCCAAGAAAGAGGTCCATACAAGCCTCCACGGATCATGCAGCTTCTCACCCAGTGACCAACTGCGAGTTCCTTCCCCATTTATCCTGCCTAAGACACCCAGTGCGCGCTAAGCTCACGGGGCTACCATTGCCTTTAGTGCTGGGGCTCTAGCAAGATAAACAGTTAATCCAGAATAACCAACCGCCCACTTGCAACCTTTAGCATATTCTCATCCATAAACGAACAATACAATAAGGCAAAACAAAACATCAATCGATCGACAATCCTTTAATATACCAAATGTTCAAACTGATCTATATCAACAAAATATAAATACATACTTAAATAGATCAACAACATATTCATTGTATAAATTATATATTTTCTTAACATAAATATCAAATCTACAATGAGGACGTAATATTTTCAATTTACAAAGAACTTATATAATCAAGTAACTTAATTATCATAATTATTTCTTTGTTACCTACACACATTGATTGTGTTGGCCTTCAAATAATTAGTTGGGCCGAAAGCTGCGTAGAGTTGAGATGGAGTGACCAAACATCATTGTACATCTCCTTGGCGGCAGCTTGACTTGGACCAAGGGGGCAAGCCTATGCAAAGCCAAAATGGTGCAGGAAAGCTTCACACATCATTGGTGTCCACATCGCCGAGCGTAGTCAAACAACGACTACATACAAAGAGAGCTATCCAAAGTAGTTTCCACATCCCAGTTCTTTTGGTTGTCTAAGCATCCTGGAACCGTTGGATCGGACTTTTGTCATCAGTGCGCAGCCATGACCACACCAAGGTTCTTGTACGTACCGCCCATTTCCTCCGAAGATTCCCAGGACCTTCGTAGGCAGAATTGCTGAACATAGGCCGGAGCGTGGCCCCCAAGGGGCATCTGCGAGAATTTCGGTCCAGGTGGTTCCATTGGACGCCCAAATGTCATTGAACTTCTTGTAGCCTAGGATGAAGTGGGTCGCAGCGGGAGTTTGATGAGTTTAATGCATCAAAATGCTGAAATCATCAATGCTGACATCCGAACAAACCTTCCTGTACTCAGCGACAACGTCTGGGATGGTATCAAACATGATACAAACGAAGCTCGTAGATTCCTGCAAATTTCTGTATAAATAAGCGTGTCTGAACTTCTGGTCTTCCATCTTCTTCCCATTCGGTCCACCTGCAGACCAAGTTGTTCCAACCGCGTTCCTCATCGGACAAGCAACTTGTCCCACCTGCCAAGTAGATTTGATCCTCCGTTGCCACCAATCCAAAATCGGCGCGCGCTGCCCATGGTGCATCACTGCCCCGCTGCCAGGCACGACCATCGAGCGTGGACCAAACCTTGCAAGGAGAAAGCTTAGCACAAACATCAGGGCACCCAATCATGCACTGCAAAGCGGAAGGACCTTCGGATTCTGGAGTCTTTTAAATGTCCAGTCACCGCCGTTCCAATCGAACTGGATCTTTTCAAGGCCCAAGGCAAAGGCGCATCTGATGGTTTGGGGATGTGACAAGGAAAACATTGCCTGCCATAAGTCTAGTCTACCACTCTGGAGGCCCCGGACTTGATCAAATTAACAAAGAGTCAATCTGACAATCTCAACCCTTAGGTCTGACTTCTTCAAATGGGCAAACGGTCGTCCGAGCAAAAGCAAGGTGACATCGTTGGTCTCGCCAGGCCCGAAATCGATGTTTCCACCTCAGCATCCAGTGAAGCGCAGCAACCCCAAAGAATAGAATAAGATTAATAGGAAACACTTGGAAATAATCTGAAACATGGCAATTATAACGAGTTTCATTTTTGTTCACCCAGACTCGTCTTCAAGGTCTTTTTTGAAATGCATGTTTCCTCCATGGCCTGCTGCCACTACGCAGGTGCTGCCTCTGCTTGCACAATCTGCCTTTTTGATTGGATTGCTCTGACACGTCAGTTCTGCCCTCTAGAGTGAGGGTTCTGACACAAAACAAGTGTCTCAATGCCTCAATGCCTTTGATGGACATTGACCGGCGTGATGGTACCGTCATGCTCTAGGATTCTTGTCAGTGGTGCATTGGGGGTTCTCAATCAAGCACTTGTTGAATCATGTGGGATCTATGATCCTATGTGTGCAACGTAACATTGACACCCACCAGTAGGATGTGCTATCCAAGCTAGAGGACCCCAGACCATCGGTCGCTTCAGCATCCTCACAAGCACGTCCGACACACTCCGTCCTCCAAAACATCTCCGACCATGGAACCATCGCCGATGTCCATCGGACCCATTTCGCCAAGGCACCCATGATCACCAACTGGTTTCTCAGCACTGCTGCGCCCAAGCCCCAGCGTGGTGACCAGGGCGCTGCTGTGACCAACTCTGTCCACTCTCGGCCGTCCTTTGCTGAGCAGCAACAACGGGCTACGTTATGGCGCTATGGCTAGGGCCTGGTGCCATATTGCACCATCATGCACTGCTCTTGAACATCCTCAAACTGAATATCAGTGCGATACTTGCAGCATGCAACTGATGGATCATGTCCTTAAAATACAACAGCTTCAAATACGGGTTGGTTGATTGCTGCGGTTCAAAGTGATTAAAGCATTGAGTCATTGCAAAACAGGCTCCGCCGATGACCAAACGTCGTTCAAGTAGGTGTTGGATTCAGACACTCCGCCCAGTACCTTGGCAAACCAAGCAGGGGACCACCTGTCACAACGGCACAGGTTGGACTACTCGGGTACCGCCAACCCACACTGATGGGTTTGACGATCCAGACGTCTGGTCCTCCTTCAGAAGTTCTATCATTTTCATCCCACCTTACAGGTGTACAGCGGGCTGCAACTAGCCTCAATGACAAGCAAGGCACGAACACCTTCGAGTCGAACGTGGCCGCTGCTGCACTCGTCCGCTTGCACCACGGAGCATTTCCAGTCAGCTGCTCCCATTGCTTTCCGTCGGGGGAAGCCCAAACGTCATTGAAGTAAATGCTTTTACCTTAGAGGATGTCAAACTGACCCTGCCATCCCTGCCCCTCTGTAGATTGCAAATGCATGCAGTGCTGGAGGCAGTTCAGCCAAAGAAAATACACTTGATGTAGGGGAACGAAGCGCCTCAATTGGAACCAACCACAAGATTTTGACATGTTTGATCCATATCACTCTTGACTAGAGATTGACGACCGGTGCAGTTTCGCAATTCAAGGCTGGTGTGCCAAGTAATTATATATATATATATAAATAATCAACTGCCTAACAAAGCCCTCTTCCAAACAGTGTCCCTTGCAAAAACCAGCACACACATACACCTCCCATTGGGCAACCAACACTTCCATTCAATCCATGCCAGTGACTCATCAGGAGCCCTGCTTCAGCCGCCGAGACGCCAATAGGACTATTCTCACCTGCCAATATCCACATGTTCTTGTTGAAGGTGACCATTGAATGGCCAGATCGGGCTGTCCAGCTGGCATCATTCGAAACTTGAGTCCAAGTGATTCCATCCTCCGAAATTCACGGCGGGGGCACATTGACCGTTAACGCGCACGAAACCCACGGGCAACCATCAAAATAGACTTAAAAGTCATGGATGGAATAGGCCATTCTATTGTCATTCTCAGAGCGACCACAGATTAAGATAGACTGACGGTGTGAGGCATCATTCGACCCACAGTGAAAGTGCTGTAATTCCGTGAAACAAATCAAACAAGGAACCGACCTTGCCTCTGAAGACCAAACATCATTCCTTGGCAGGTAACATCATGAAACATCACTGACAGTGTGATCTTTACCAGGCTCCAGCCCACCACATGTTTCACACGCAATCATCCAACCGGAAATGCCTGCGAGCTATGGAGCACAAACATCCGCACAGTATCCTTGATGCCACCCTCCCAGAAGCATTAAATTTATGATGATCGCTTGAAGATGCTGAATTGGTGCTGAACATTTCCTCTAACTGCTCAATTAAGCTTATATATATATATTTATTTAACCATTATAAAATCTATCCCAATCGCAAAACCTCTGGGGGACGCCAATCGAATTTCAATCGAAAGGTCCCAAGCGAAAGCATAGGGAGGAGACAGAAAGAGAGCTGCTGATCTGGAGATCATTACGCAACAACAACGTATTTGACAACAGAATGGAGCTGGATCCACTGGTGACTTTACCACGGCAAGAGAACTCATTATGTACGTATCCTAGTATCCCAGTCCGTGGTGCTATGGCAAAATGGGGCCATATGCCGTGAACAGACTCGGTGAAACAATCCGGATTTGAACAAGGCACAGGTGTTCGTGATAGTCATAGCCTCAGCTCCAGAAAGCAAATAGTCAAACCAGGAGCAGGGTGGATGTGGGGACGTCGCACTTCAAGCACGGAGATGGGATGTGTCAAAGCACGCTGAAAGCATTGTGATGACATCACTGTTTGGATCGTATGAATCATCTAGAATGTATCTAACATCATACGCATAGACATGCGTTCAACGCTTTCCAAATCCAAATCTAAGCCAGCCCTCTCTCTCTGTACATAGACTTACAGTAACAGACCAATTGGGACTACAGTATAACAAATCTGAAAATATGGCATGATGCCATGCGATACCGTCAGCACAGATCATCATGGCACCTTCCAGGATGCCCCCATTCCCTCGCGCCATTACAGCACCAGGCAGCCACCCGCCAGGAAAACGCGGCCCTTCAACACGGTGGCAGCAGCACGGTCCCGTGCACTCCAGGGAGCGGCGCCTGTGAGCAAAGTCCAAGTATTGGGCTCAGCTGCGACCTGGAAGCCAGGAGGGGCCTCGTCTCGCACGATTCCCATACTTCAAGCGGGCAAGTGGGCTATGACCAGAAGATAGAATGGAAGATCAATATGGAGGCAGGATCAAGATGATCAAGTACTATCAACTCTCTAAAGGCAAAATGTGGTAAGTGTGTGCTGCGGCCCTCCACCATTTTGTCCACGTGAAGGAAGGTCTGGATATCTACACAGTCTCAAAAATCTCCACGCAACAAGCAAGGCAACGCTAAGTCGAATGTCCAGTTGCCATCATCATCAAGATTCCTTGGCTTCAAGTAACAGGACGCTATGCCCAGCCGGGAGGCAGTGCAATGATCACAAAGTCATTCTCTCTCAAAAGAAGTTACATAAGTTACTGCATCCAAGAACGAACAACTGGAATGAGCTGCAAGCACCATGCAAAAACACAAACGACACTTGGCGGGCTCAGCACAAAACCCAGAACATGAGAGAAGCCCGTGTAGTTGCAAGAAAGGAAAGAAGGAACACAACAAACAGCCGTGTGTTGGGGGTCTCTTGGCACCAAATGTCTCGTAATTAATGCAAATCTAAAAATCAATCCAACGTGCCATTACGACACAGTACTGCAACTGACACAAACCCAAGTGTCATCAGACCCACAACCCGAAGCCAAGGCACCAAACATCCCAAGCATTGCAAGCATCATGGCAGCACTGGGACATGACAATCTGCCTTTAAACCGGGAGCTGAGATGGCAGCAGTTCGGGAAGTGGAATCATTAGGCCACACAGTCCGTGCTCGGCATGAATATGGTCAAGCCATACCGAGCGTCGGAAGATCAACTGATGCAATCATCTCACTGTCTTCACAAAATGGTAGCTTCAGCTGTTGTGATGAGCTAGGACCCAGCATGCATGATGGGCACCTGTTGTTGACATCTTTGACCTGCTCTTGGAAATGTCGCATGTCCTGCCATTTTTAGACACTTAACAGGTCACGGGCCACGATTGTGGTTTACTTGTCCTACTTCTTGTCGTGTGTCTTGGAGGGGAATGCCAAGCAAGTTGGATTTCAAAGGCATCTCTGGAAAACAAGCGTGTTGCCTACTCCTCTCTTGGCCGACATAGAAATGCTCTGACAGCATTCTCATTCCAAGCCCAGATTAAAACCTTTAAGTACACCAGAAAAAGGCAAAATTAAGGTTTAGGAGTAAAGGAAAAGGAGTGTTTGAGAGTTTTCTGAGTCTAAGTATGGAGATGTTATAAATAGAGATGGAGTTAAAGAGCCAAATGGTAAGCAGACTGGCCAGGCCACAAAGCTGATGATGCGTTGGTCTCATCGTTTTCTTCGATTGACTTTTCTGGTGCCGCAAAGCTAGAGGCCTCAAACAGCTGTGCTGAAAGTATAGAATGGATATCGAAACAGTGACACTTCAATCTAAAGCGCCTGTCTTTGATTCATGAGTTTCTTTACATGTTTTGTTGTCTCAGTTCGTTGCAGCCCAACCACATTAACACAAGATCTACTGTACTACACAACCCGCTGACCTCGATTCTGAAGTGCTTTTGCTAGTTGTCCATAGGTGTATTTAGATGTATTTAGAATTAAGTGCGCCATACGCCGAATCTCATTGAACCATCCATTGCATTGCATTCAATCAAGTGCCTCAGGGCCTCAGGTGAAGCAAGTCAGTCCACCTCAAGACCCTCGAGAGGCCCATGTGCGGAGCCCTGTTGAACTGCTGCGACCCTTTCAAGCCTCGTTTAAAGAACACTTACAGTATCAGGGATCCGTTTCGGGAGCGTTATGGTCAAGGATTTGTAAAAGTCATTCATAGGCACAGGGGTGTGACTAGAAGAATGATAAGCATGTGTTTCTTCACACAAAACCAAGCATCTATTCTACAACCCTAAAATCTGAAAGCACTTCAACTCAAACCATCCCAGGGCAGCTTCCCCTAAAACTGAGCTAGCGTCCTAGCAGCAACCATTTAAATATAGCTCTGAATACACTCTGGTTGGATTTGTTAGGTGTCGTTTCGTTTATGTGTTTTTTAGTGGCATATCTGAACCTGGCAACTCATGCACTGGCCTTCCATCCTCCACTGCTTTTAATGATTGCGTTTAGGAATGAAGACCAAATGAAATGCAAGCGACATCTTCACAGCATTCACTCGACATCACAAACCCATCAGCCATCCTCCTGAACAAGCTCCGAAACTCTGAGCACCTTTAGCTCAAGCTACCTTTCGTAGTTACAAATCACGCCACAAGAATACATATTTTGTACTACCTCAAATCCACAGGACCCCAGAACAGTGTTCTTGTCAATATTCGATATGATGAGCATCCCCACAAGTAGATCCAGCCCAAATCGCTTGCTTTTCCAAACGCGGCTGGGTTGCTTGCATTTGTGCCCCCTCCTGCAAGGCATACCAAATATCCCATTCCGAACAAAGCCCTTTCAACGGTACATCCAAAGCCATCAAAATAAAAGGTTTCCGCCTCGAGTTTCTTTGTACGGAACAAGCTGCCCTCTCAGGATCTGAGAGGTGTGTCCCTCAATGCCTTTGGACGATTCCGTGTTTTGAAATCACCGAATGCAACTGGGGCTGAAGTTATGCAGCATCAATCAAGCGACGCATGGACTTGCAATGACTCCGAGACCTACCTAGACACACATGAGGCAGCATGTATTGGACATTTGCTACGGCCTGTGATGTTTGGCGAGATCAAGCTCATCGAACTGAGATGCCCTCCAGAAGTTTTATCCAACCATTGAAGTCCAGTACCCCAACATCTTGGCACAAATTCTGGTGCTTTCTGTGCTCGTTGACTTGTGTTCTGAGAGAATTATTTCGAGCATTCTCTGTGATATGCAAAGCTTTATGAGCTTTATAAGGTCTCGTCGAGGTGCCTACACCTGTGGATGCCGATAAAGACCCGAGGCTTACAGAAGGCCTATGTGCAAGGTATGTCAAGTCTAAGCACCTTTACCTTTGGTGCCACTGGCCTGCACCGGTCTTTGACTTGAGGAAAGCATGTCACTAGCCCCACCTTTACACAGGCATTCAATTCCATCTGAATCTGCAAACAAGTTGACAGTGAAGCTTCTGCTGATCTCCTTCATCAAACCGTGGATGATGCGATGGAAACAGGGCCTTTGAGGCTTGAGTGACTCTGATGAGCTGGCGATTTAGAAACTTAAAAGCATCCTTCCA